AAATTTGTCTCTTTCTTAGTTTAAATTAGGGTTTGGCTTAATTGTAGCAATAATTCTTGAACTTTATCATAGTTTAAGTTTAATCTCTGAACTCTCATATTAGTTTTTTTAGTCTTTGACTATAAGCATGTGTTGTGTAAGATCCCACATCGTCCAGGGTGAGGATTCTATAAGCCTTATATGTATATTCTCATCTCTACCTAGTACGAGGCATTTTGGGAGCTCACTGGCTTCAGGTTCCATCGGAACTCCAAAGTTAAGCGAGTTCGTGTGAGAGCAATCCCAAGATGGGTGACCCACTGGGAAGTTCTCGTATGAGTTTCCAAAAACAAAATCGTAAGGGCGTGGTCGAGGAGGGGACAATATCGTGCTACGATGGAGTCGAGCCTGGGATGTGGTGGGGGCCCGGGGCGGGATGTGACAATTTGGAATCAGAGCCAATCCTTGGCCTGAAGTGTGCTAACGAGGACATCGGGCCTCTAATGGGGGTGGATTGTAAGATCCCACATCGCCCAGGGGTGAGGATCCTGTAAGCTTTTTATGTATATTCTCATCTCTACCTAGCACTAGGCCTTTTGGGAGCTCACTGGTTTCAGGTTCCATCGGAACTCCAAAGTTAAGCGAGTTCGCGCAAGAGGAATCCCAAGATGGGTGACCCACTGGAAAGTTCTCGTGTGAGTTTCTAGAAACAAAACTGTGAGGGCATGGTCGGGACCCAAAGCGGACAATATCGTGCTACAGTGGAGTCGAGCCCTGGATGTGGTGGGGGCCCGGGCCGGGATGTGACATGTTGCACCATTGGTTCTTGAACTTTACCCATAGTTTCAGTTTAGTCTCTGAATTCTCATAGTAGTTTCTTTGGTTCTCGAACTTAACAATTGTTGCACCAGAGGTCATTATCACTTACGTTATCTTTTTTTTATGTTAAATCTAGGAGTATATTAAGAACTTCAACTTAAAACTTCAAAAAACAATAGAAGAAGCTAAAAAACAAATGAAATTATATAAATTAATATCTAAAACTTAAATCAAAATGTATTTTGAATTATAAAAATACAAAATGAAAATGGTTGGACTCAAAGTTCTAAAAGACGGTAGGTGCTAGTCAGGCGGCTGGTTTGGGCATATATATATATATATATATATATATATATATAGGTAATGTAAGAATTTTAAGTACATAATTTGAATAAAAAAAAGAAGAAGATAATAATATATAATATATTTGTTTAATAGTGAAGTTGGTAACTTTTTTTTAATATAATTAATAAGCTCAGGAAATCGCAAGGCCTTGGAAATAGATAATAATATATAATATATTTGTTTAATAATGATGGAAATCTATCTGACAGAGGGGAGTCATTATTATCGTTACTGGGAGTGGCTTTTGAAGCCTTGGAAATCGGCAAGGCCTTGGAAATAGATAATAATATATAATATATTTGTTTAATAATGGTGGAAATCCATCTGACAGAGGGGAGTCGTCATTTTCTTCCCCAGGAGTGGTTGAAGCCTTGGAAATCAACAATGTCTTTATTTCGGGGTTTCTCGTTTCCTCTCCCTTCCATTCTTGTTCGATTGCTCCACTTGATTTCCGATCTTCTCCGCCTAATTTTCATCTTCTTTCTCTGTATAATTTTCCAAAAAACTAATCATGAGTCTCGTCAAATTCCTCAAGCACAGCGAAGAAATCTTCTCCGGCGAAGAAATCTGAAGCTTCTAGGTCAAAGTTCTCGTTTTTTTTCCTGCAATTGCACTGTTATTCTAATTCCTTCTACAAATCTCTCTCATGCTTACTCTTCCCTCGCGCTCTCTCGGTTGCTCCTTTCAAATTTTATGTCATCACCCTCGCGGTGTAGTGAAACGGTGAAAGTATAATATTTTAACAGAACCACCGCGAAGGCTGCTTAGCTCGGCACCTAGGCCCCCTAGCCCGCCTAGTCGGCTGCCTAACACCGCCTAATAGCCTTGCTGATTTAGTGAACGTTTTTTAAATAATCGCGACGGTCGCCTAGACTAAGTTTTAGAACACTAGTTGGACTTTAGCAACTTGTAAATATTAAGCAATGCGACTTCAAAGTTGGTAGGAAATCAAACTGTGGCTGGACTTAAACAACTAACCAAAAAAAAAAAATTCCTAAATTTTCAATTTTCTTACACCAAAAAAACAAAAAAAGATTTTTTAGGGGTTTTTTTTTCCTTCTCATTTCTATTTTAAATTCATTTTTAGTGATGTGAGATGAATTTCTAATATACCCCTAAATTTAACGAAGAAAATAGATTGCGTTATTGAGAATCAATAGTACAACACATTGTTAAATTTGAGAACTAAAGAAACTAATACTAGAATTCAGGGACTAAATTAAACTAGAGATAATTCTCATGGATTATTGTTACAACTAAGCCTTAGGGTTTCTACCACGAATGATCCCTGAATTTCGACCTTCTAATCAAAATGGCTCTTGGAATACAAGTGGGTCTCATCTATCCAATCATATAATGACATGTGGATTAAATATATTTAAAAAAAAAAAAAAGGAGCATCGTCATCTTTATTGAGAGAGGATCCTCGCCAGATCCTCCTTATGAGGATCCCGAGGATCTTCCAATCACATTTGTTTATTGTACATCGTACGACCAGTTTTCGTTAGGTACTATTTATATTCAATTTTAAATAAAAAAATTTACAATAATTTCTGACCGTACGATGTATGATGAATGTAACATCCCACATCGCCCAAGGGAGTGGATCCTGTAAGCCTTATATGTATATTCTCATCTCTACCTAGCACGAGGCCTTTTGGGAGCTCACCGGCTTCGGGTTCCATCGAAACTCCGAAATTAAGCAAGTAGCGCGCGAGAGCAATCCCATGATGGGTGACCCACTGGGAAGTTCTTGTGTAAGTTCCCAGAAACAAAACCGTGAGGGCGTGGTCGAGGCCAAAAGTAGACAATATCGTTCTACGGTGGAGTCGAACCCGGGATGTGGTGAAGCCTGGGCCGGGATGTGACAATTTGGTATTAGAGCGTAACCCTGGCCGTGGTGTGACGACGAGGACGTTAGGCCCCTAAGGGGGGTGGATTGTAACATCCCACATCGCCTAGGGGAGTGGATCATATAAGCCTTATATGTATATTCTCATCTCTACCTAGCACGAGGCCTTTTGGGAGCTCACTGGCTTCGAGTTCCATCGGAACTTCGAAGTTAAGCGAGTAGCGCGCGAGAGCAATCCCATGATGGGTGACCCACTGAGAAGTTCTCGTGTGAGTTCCCAGAAACAAAACCGTGAGGGCGTGATCGGGGCCCGAAGCAGACAATATCGCACTACAGTGAAGTCGAGCCCGAGATGAAGTGTAACATCCCACATCGCCCAAGGGAGTGGATCATGTAAACCTTAAATGTATATTCTCATCTTTACCTAGCACGAGGCTTTTTGGGAGCTCATTGGCTTCGGGTTCCATCGGAACTCCAAAGCTAAGCGAGTAGCGCGCGAGAGCAATCCCATGATGGGTGACCCACTGGGAAGTTCTCATGTGAGTTCCCAGAAACAAAACCGTGAGGGCGTGGTCGGAGCCCAAAGCGGACAATATCGTGCTACGATGGAGTCGAGCCCGGATTGGGATGTGACAATGAACGGGTGTGATTTGAGCATCCGACGAGGATCCTCGCTCTTTTATTGTGCTTCTCTGGTTTTGAATGTATCTGTGAAGACGAAGACTAATGTGTGCGTTTTTGTCTTTTCCTTTATAGTTATTTATTTATTTAACTTTGTCAGTTTTAGTTTTTATATCTTAAAAAAAAAAACTTTTTATAATTAATTTACGTGACGTTGTATAATTCGATATGTGGGAGTTACTTGTATGTCACATTAGCACTCTAACAGAAAATTTGATGAAAAGCTAACGGAATGATCAAATTGATTTGCAAGACCCATTTCAGGAACCAAATTGATTAATTTTCTATTTTAGAGACCATTTTTATTTTATTTTATTTTATTTTTTTATCAAACAGAGGCCATTTTGATTGGAATGTCTAATTTCAGAAACCAACTATGATAAAAAGATAATACTTTGATACTCACTAGTGAGTTTTTTATGTACTCACTTTTTTATTTGGTCCAATATAAAATATCACGTGTTTCTTGTTTTTAAAGTCCAAGAAAAATTAAATAACATATATATTTTTTTTAAACAATAAACATGTGTTATAATATCATTGAACAAAATAATAAAAAAAAAGAGTACTCAAGTATTACCCGTGATAGAAATCCTTTAAATTATATTAATCAAAATATCGCTCAAATAAAAATCAATCTTAGTTTCTTATAAAGAGTTTGACCTATTATGTGGAAAATAAGAGAAGGCAATGCTATGCCAACTTTCATTTTGTCATCAACACTTCTTTTACATGTATTTTAAAACAGTAAAACTATTATATTTAGTGTATAATGATAAATTGCAAGTGTGAATTGAAATTACGAAAAAGAATATCTGAATAGATATCTCTAATTTCTTCCGTGAGACGAATGCAGTGCCATCAATTCATTCATCATACATGTATATTTGTCAGTGGTATACTCATGTTACTTTTATTAATAACACCATGTACGTTAGTAATCATTACGATTGTGAAATCACTTACTGTAATTTTTGACAGATACTCTCATCACTAATTCATTACGCGGCAAACCCATATTAAACGGAAGAGTGAACAAGCAGTGATTGGTCGAGTGCCGCCGCTAAAACTATGAAATAGTTTGCATGAATCTCTCCTAATTTTTCATTATTTGCCCCTCGGATACATAGAGAAGAAGAAACACACTGCGGACAGTACACTCTCCGGGATGAACACTTATGATCCATTTACTAATCCGTAATCAGATTGAGAGGAATTGAATTGAGAACGAATTAGAATGAGGTTTTTTTTTTATAATCAAAGTCAGATTGTTGTTTAAGTTGTTTACTAAAATTGTCGACAAGTAAAACATTCATTCTAAATATGCAAAAATTAAAATTTCGGAGGTATATAACTAAAAATGAAGAGCCGTTCGACTAATAAAATAACCAAAATTGACTAACGATTCTACCTTTTAGAAACCTTTCGCTAGGGTAACACAATGCCAACACAAAATGAAGATAGGATGAATTTGCAAATCAATAACACAAACCCCTTAGGCGATGAAGGACAAAACTAATCAACCTCCATACCAGAGATGGCTTCATCTAAAATCGCCTGAAGCTCCCTCGCTCTTTGTCTAGTCAGTGCAACACAGTCCTGCAACCACAGAGAGTATTCCTTGTAAGAATCTGGATTATGGCTTAACAGGTATTTCTGACAGGGCATCTCTTATTAAACTTAATCGTCGTTAATTATTACTCCGCTACACTAACATCTTTCTGCATATTCACAAACTTGTGCAAATATGTGAAGAAATAAATTATAATTCACCAAGATAGTTTTCAGGACAAGGAATCAAGTTTCAGAACTGATAACATTTTGATTAAGTTGCAAACCATTTGAAAAGTAGAACCTTTTTCCCTCGAAGTTCCAGTTTTCAGAGGTTACAAAGTTTCACAATATTGGTGCAAACAGCAAAAAGGGTGAAATTTTGATGACAAAATCAGTTTAACAACCTTGGATGTAACATGAACATGACAATCCCTTCACATATACTTCTTCTCTACTTTCAGCTATCACTGTTGAGCAGATAGAATGCAGTAACAGATTTTGAATTGTAATTGTAACCTCCTACAAAGTTTGTATTGTGGGGTAGCATCAAAATAATAACTTTAGGGTCAACACTAAGTAACTAACCTGGATAGCTGAGGTATAGGCAAGAACTGGTCCACCGGGCTTGTAAAGAGACACAAGTTGACCGGATGAATCCAAAACCACAGTTACAAGAGTTTCCATGATGGACTCTTCCTCTGCTGTAGGGTCAGCCAAGATGTATTTCTTATGAAGTATGCACGTCAATGAAAAAGGAATACTGCTTAGTGTGAGTTTCCTCTTCCCGTTATTGACTGCCTCCTTCCCACCTTGCTCCTCAGACATAACTACTACTTTTCCTTCATCATTCATCGAAACTACCGGAATCTGCACTGCAAGGCATGGAAGTAATAAGACAAAGATGCTGCAGCACAACACAATTTCAGCATTGAAATTATAATTCTAAGCACAACACCCACAGCAGAAATGACTGCACTCTAATCCTATGCTACAATCTTATGCATTTGTATTTTGCTCAACTAAATGATTTTACGACGACTGGAATCCCATCATTTCATCCCATCCCAATTGCATCACTCAGCAATGTCAACTCTTTGCTCATTCGTACTTCCATTTGCATAATTTCCTTTCCTACAACCCCCCAAACTTAAACTTCTGTGTTGAGAATACCGAAAGGGTAGCCATCCTTTTGACAGCAGTATAAATGTCAAAATGAAATTGCATGGTAGGGAAAATCCAACCGAACTATGGGTACAGTTTCAAATAAAACTTGAATTAAATATAGGATACCACAAGATGTCTACAAGTTGGATTCATCTACCCTACAAATCAATTGTAGTTTTATATATTAATGGAGAAACAACATAAGCTTCACCAGAATTTAGTTGATTTCCAGCTTTTTTAATATAAATCTTTTCCTTCTTTCTTCCATGCATACATTTTCATACATTTAGTCGGGTACAATAGTACAGAATTTGAATAATATACTTGCTCTAGAGTGCATATCTGGAGTAGGTCGGGCAACTAAGTGATCCCAGATGCTGTTTTCTGTAGCCAGCACATTACACGGATTGTACAGGATACCAAATGAAGAGATGGTTGTAACACTTACAGTGAGAAAAGGCAGCAACTGCTGACAGCAAAGCTGCATCGAAAAGAGCACCATCAGCATCCAAACAATATATGTCCTGCATGAGACAAATCAGACATCACTTCATAATATATATATCCTACAATGACAAAAAAAAAAAAAAAGCCATAATAATTGACGACTATGATTTTCCAGGTTTCAAAGCAAATACCAAGTAGGCCATCCAAGCAGCTTTTCCACTGATTAAGGATAGCTCCTTCAAATTAATCAAGCCAGAACTGCAACAAACGAAGACAACTGGTAAATTCCCAAACTGAAAATATCAAATGAAGCATCAGATATTTTAACCGTAAATAGGATACTGATACCAGCATAAGATGTTCTGAATTCAAGCACAAAAATCAATTCAACTAAAGCCAGTATAGACAAGTTGATTTCAACATCCAATATTCCTTTTAAAATTGTTATTTGGGATCCTCAACAGTAGAACTACTTTCGTAAGGTAACAATCGCTTAGTACTCTATAAGATTATGGCCTCAGGTGAATTCATTAAGTACTCAAGTAATGGACACTAAGAGATGAGACTTGGTTGAACTGATAAAATAGAAGCACTCCTACAAGCAATAGGAATTGACACACAAGTAAACCACCTCTTATATTAATATGAACAGACCATTCAAAAGAAAACTGATATCACTGAGAAGTTCAACTAAAGAAACTTTAGGTAGAACTGAGAAATGATAAACAACTAGACTGACAATTCACTTGCCTTAAAATAGTGTCAGATAGCTGCTTCGACACAACCGGTGCTGCATCAGCAGGCCTGCCAGGCCTAACAGTTGGAGAACAAATTGGAGGCATGTGGAAATCAATTGCTGAAAATAGAAAAGTTTTTAAGTGTGGACAATCTGTTAACTAGAAGAGAACAAAATCACATAAAGTTCAAAGAAGAGAAGAAATACAACTTAGCAAGTTGTGCACACTAACCTATGCAGCCTTCATCTGGTGACTCTGTTGGAGGGGTCATGACTTCCATTTTTATTGCAGCCAGCATTGTCTGAATCCAAAAATCCTCATCAGTCATATGACTGTATATTTCATTTAAATATCGAAAACAAACACACATAGTTAGATAGTGATAAGCAATTACAGTTGAACCAATCTTTACTAATGCTGACCCATCAGCGGATGCAACTGCACCTACATTAAAACGGGAAAGGGTTCAGTTTACATGGCTAAATAAACTTGAGGGTTGCATAAACCAAGTTAAAACAAAATATGGAATAGAGAATCCATGATATTGATTCTAATGCACGCTTTAGCTAACCAAGGGCTGAAGAAGTCTCTCTAGCTTCGGTTAGTGACCTGCCATCAGGGCGTGTAGATTTAACAAAATGGCTCTCATAAAACTGAAGAGGAAATAGACGTCTGAAAGCATCCCCGTCCATTTCGGACAGCAAATCCCCAGAACCATCTGGAAGCCCCATTGTCTCTTCTTCGTCTAGTTTCCTAACTACGCTCCTTGCCTTACAAAAGCAAAAGATGCATACTTTCAGCATAAAACCAAAATAAGAATTCAACCACAAAGATAAAAAGAACAAACATTCATTGAATTTTCGATACAAAGCTCCAACAGATTATCCATACAAACTTCTGTTTCCATATTCGAGAGACACCCATATTAACATTAACAAACACAGTAAAATCAAGAATGTTTATTAAAACAGTGAACTTTAGCAGTATTGAAGATTGGAAGGGGAAATGAAGAAACCCCGTTTTCGAATTTCACAAAAAGAAACAAAACCCAGTAATGAAAAACCATTTGTAAGCTTCCTTCTCGAAAAATATACCTGACCGAGACACGAACAGGAAGCCCCCGCTTACTATGAATGCAGCACCAACATGGGTTGTTTCAAAATTCAAATAACACACACAGCACCTTGTTGTTTGTACCTTTCCAGTTTCCAGTAGAAAGACTATATAAATAATATATATATATATATATGAAAATTTGATTCCAGAAAGTCCAGAATCCCAAAAGCGTTTCCTTTTCTAGCATCCCACGAAAAAATGAAACTAAAATCCCAAGAAAAACAACAGAAATAAAAGATTGAATGTGGTGCAATAGAGAGTTTGCATGTGTTTCTATGATCGAATTGAAGTATTAGGCATTCAAGAGAGAGAGAGAGAGAGAGAGAGTGATCATACCTGGGTGAAGCTTCGTAGTTCAGACAGAGAGAGGCTGTGGAGTGGACGGGTCAAATAAATGGGTTAGGTTTGGTGTAAGTATACCCGTTTGAAGTTCGGTTACGGGCATCCATAACCCGTACCCGCCACGACCCGCTACTTTTGTTGTTTTTAGGGTTTCAATTAGGGCTGGAAAAAAATCCCAAAAATCCCAAACCAAACCGAAAAAATCCCGATCCCAAACCAAAATTCCCGAAATTTTCGGTATATAATCCCGAACCAAACCGAAATTTTTGGTATGGGATTCGGTATTCCATCTCCATTTTTTCGGTATTCCCATACCGAATTGAAATAAATATGATTAATCTTTTGTTTGTTTCTATATTCCAGTTGTCTCAACTAATGTGATTAATCTTTGGATATTAGTTTAAGTTCATCAGAAAAGTTTGATTATATATATCAGTATACATATATTATACTAGTACCTTAATATTGTGCATGCATATTGTTAATTGATAAACTAGTACATTAATAAAACTAATTAATATAACTGATGTGGTGTAATTCACTATAGGGAGGTTAATAAAGGGTATACTGATAGTTATAATTGATGCACCTTAATATTTGATGTAGTTTAAGTTCTAACTAGTACTAATAGTTAGTGATATGAAAAGTTTGTATTTGAATTATTCATTATTTATTAGTTGTAAACAATTTAATTTCCTCTTTTATTTTCTTAGTATTTATTATCTATTAGACTATAATTCAATGTAAATGATTTGTGGTTTATTGTTTTAGGCACGGCTAATTTGGGAGGTGAGGAGAATACAACACATGAAAATGAAATGCCACCTCCACCTCCTCGACCACTCCAAGTTGAAGTTCAACAACGTCAAAATCAATCACTACCTCCATGACCACCCATTGCAAGGGGAAGGGCTCAACCATCAACATCAAGGGGAAGAGTACAATTACCAACAAGAAGGGAGCAACCACAAGCATCAACAAGATCAAGGGGACGAAGGGGCCGAAGAGGCCAACAATATTTATAGATTTTAAGCTTTGCTTTTTAGCTTTTGGTTTGTAACTTAATTATTGAAACTTTGGCTCATAACTAATTTTTTTGATTTTGGGTTTGTTACTTTATTTATAAATCTTGGCTTGTAACTACTATTTTTGCTTTTGAGTTTGTTACTTTATTTATTACTTTATAATATGTCAAATTTTAGCCCAAAAACATAATATGTCAAATTTTAGTCCAAAAGCCCAAAAGCATTTTGGGATTCCCGATTTGTCCCGAAATCCCGAAATTATTTTGGGATTCCCGAAAATTGGGATTCCCGAAAATTTGGTTTGGGATTGGGATTGAATTTGGGATTCCCAAAAATTTCGGTTTGGGAATCGGGACAATGGTTTCGGTATGGGATCCCATACCGAACCACCCCTAGTTTCAATGATGATTTTGGTGTAAATTACATTTTTGCATCTCTATAGTTTACAATATGTTACAATTTGGCCCAATTCTTTCAGTAAGTTACAAATTGTTAAATGAATGCCCTTTCATCTGCCCAACTACCTAGTTAATTGTTATTTATTCATGTTACTCTATGAGGCTGTTTTTTTTTTTTTGCTTACATCTCTTTCTATATCTAGATTATTAACCTATACAATTAAGGATTTAGGTTTTTTTTTTTTTGTCAAACACTAAATTTTGTTAGATTAGTCACCGATAGAGTTTGAACTCACGTCACCATGTAATGGCTTAATACCTTTCCATCATTGCGATAAAGGGCCACTTGCGGAAAAATGATATAGGTTAAGTTTACTAAAACTCTTAAGTTGTCATGTGCTTAGGTAATTGAAACAACAAAAAATCATAAGATCATATGACAATACCGAAAAAAGAGCAACCGCTGACATGTAAACAAAAATAATTACCACTTGACCATAATACTGGTAGCCATTAAAATCGTTTGTTTAACTTCTTTTTATGCACTTGCAATAGCCTTGAAACACTAATTTCTTTTCATTTCAGTGGGCTTTGGATAAGGATCTAGTTTCAGAAAGCTAATGCATTTTATCCAACAGGATCCTCTCCGAATTTTTTTGGTGAGGATCCTGAGGATTCGTAAAGTTCATCGTATATCATGCGATTAATTTTTGTTAGCTACTGTTTGTATTTAATTTTAAATAAAAATATTTAAAATAATTTCTGACCGCATGATGTACAATGAACGAAATAATTCACGGATTCCCAGAATACTCACAAAGAAGATCCAGATTCGTATTTTATTACCCCCCAAAAATTATTCATTTATCTCAATATCTATATATTTTTTTAAATTATACCAAGATCTTATTCACTTACTCCTAGAATTGACCAAACGCAACAAAATTAAGGATGTAGAAGGAAAGTAAGCCCGTTTGGTACTTAAGCTCAATTTTTCTCCCAATAAAACTTTTAGGGAGTGAGAAAAAAGAGCATAGAGTTAAATGTTAATCAAATTTGATTATTTGAACGGTATAAAATGTAATTTACTTTAATTCTTATTTTCTTAAGCGGTACCAAAGAGAGAGAAGAGAAAATGCAGATTATTTCAATTGTTATTTTCTTGAGCGATACTCGAATGAGCTTACATGATCACCTATACATGAAACAAAATACATCTCTTTCTATATCTAGATTGTTAATAATTTTGCATTTATCAATTTATTGTTCATTGTTATGACTCCAGGCAAATAAAAATGAGACAAGTACTTGCGAATAGGGGTGGGTAAAAAATCCTGAAAACCGAAAAAAAACCAAATTGAACACCGAACCGACATGTAAAAAAATCAAACCAAACTAAGGGTTGTATTCAATTGGGAATTTGAGAGATTTTAATGAATTTATAAATCCATGGATTTTTATAGAGTTTAACTGATTTGTAGAAATTATATGTAAAATTTTGATTCAATTCCCTCGACTCATAGGGAGAAGTGAGATTTGTGGATGCTTAAAATACACTACAAAATCTCTCAAATTCTTTCAAATTCCTTAACTTTTCCAAATTCTTTAAAATCTAATTCTAATTGAATACACCTAGAATGTTATAAGCTTCTTTAAAATTCTAATTGAATACCTCCTGATTTATAAGGATTTTAGTAAACTATCTTTAAATCTTGATTGAATACACATTGAACTTTAGAGAATCACTTAAAATCCTGATTGAATACCCTTAGATTCATTAAAAAAATTAAAATCTCCTAAAATCCCAATTGAATACATCCCCTAAGAAAGCCAAACCGAAATTAGTTGGTTCGGTTTTGATTTTGGTGATCCGAAAATCGATCAAAACCCAAACCAAACCAGTATATTATATATTAATTACGAAAACGAATGAACATGCTAAACCAAGCCGTGAACCTAGGAAATTAACTTGACACATATTCTTCCTTGGCCATTTTCTTTTAGTGTAGCCACTTCCAAATGATAATGAATATTTATGTTCATTTGAGAAATCTCGTAATTTTATTCTTCTTTGTTAGTTATTCTTATTAGCCAAAGTGAATTTTATCCTCCAAAAACAATTGGAAATCTTCAAAAATTTGTTCGAGTCTAAACCATTTAAGCTCAAGCATGACTGTCCATTTCAAATTAAAACCTCCACATAAAGGGGTTGATTTTGCGTTGTCTACGACTAAAAAAAACCGAAACCGGACCTAAAAAACCAAATCAAAATTAAATCGAATTGAACAAAAACCGAAAAAATTTAACGCGAATCGAACCGAATTGAAAATTCGGTTTGATTTCGGTTTTGGCAAAAAATCGACCCAATTGGAACCGAACACACCCCTACGTGCGAATGTAAGAAAAATAAAGTTAGGGCAAATTACATTTTCACATCAGTTTGGAGTCTATTTCAATTTCTTACAATATCTTCAAAACATTTCACTTTCATACCTTAAGCACTATTTTATTTCAAAATAATACCTCCGTCACATTTTCTATCCATTGATCCGTTAAGTGCTGACGTGGCTGCCAAATGTCTGTCACGTGGCAAAATTTTTTTTTTTTTTTTTTAAAACTTGAATTTTCTCAACACACAAAAAAATAAAAGAAACCCATCCCATCTCCCCGCAACCACCTCCCACACCTTTAAACCTACAACAGTTTGGGGAAATAAACCTCAAACCTGATGTATGAAAATGTAATTTACTCATAAAGTTAATGCTACTTTACAGTTATACTGATAAAGGGACTTTTAGGGTAAGAATCCGTAACTTAAGGTGCTAAACTGCAAATATATAAAATAGAGTGACAATTATGTTACTGAGTCTAAACTAGAGGGTCTCAAGTGTAATTAACTCTCCAAAATCTTTAAACCCTACTAAGCTCTCGAGCTCAGCTCAGGCAGGGAGAGAGTCAGGCAGAGAGGCAGAGAGAGAGAGAGAGAGAGAGAGAGTGAGAGAACATGGCGTGCAGTGCTTCAGGTTGCGAATCAAATTGCTACAAAACCCAACAAGAAGAAGATGAAGATGTCAAAGACAACAACAATTACAAATCAATTTCTACAAACACTAGAAACAACAACAGCAACAGTAATTCGTGCCTCAAGTGCAAGGCCAATCAACCCATCTCTTCCAACACCGACGGCGGCGGCGACGATGCGCGCTTCTGCGCCGATTGCTTCCGCGGCAATCTCTTCGGGAAGTTCAGGTTCGCTGTCACCTCCAACGCCATGATTTCTCCTACTGACAATGTCCTCGTTGCCTTCTCCGGTGGCCCTTCTTCCAGGTCCTTCTCTTTCTCTGTCTGGATCAATCTTAAACGTTCATCGATTCTGTTTTAATCGTAGTTTTGCTTCGTGTAGTAAGAAAATCGACTAATTTGATCAATATATGGATACCATTATCCGAAAGGAGTGGAATTTTATGTGCGTGTTATGAATTTTGTGCGTGAGATGATTTCGAAAAAATGAATCTTTTAAGAATTTGAAAGATATATTTTTCGTTACGGGTTTATTGAAATTTGGTATATTTTGGGTTCCAGGGTTGCTTTGCAGTTTGTACATGAGATGCATAATAGAGCACAGAAGAATTTCGATGCAAGTAGGGATAGATCGTTGCCAGTTTTTGGGGTTGGAGTTGCATTTGTTGATGAGAGTTCTGTTTATTCTGTTCCGTCTGGTGAAGTAGAAAACGCAATTGAAGATATTAGATTGATCGTGGAAGACCTAGCTCCACCAACAAAAGAACTGCATGTTGTACCAATTGAAAGTGTATACTCTTCAGATTCTGGTGATGGAAGGGGTAGATTAAATCAGTTGTTAGAAGCTGTTCCAGATGCTACTGGGAAAGAAGATCTTCTGCTTCACATGCGGATGTTGGCATTGCAAAAGGTTGTGAATTTTATATAAATTTCAGTTGAAAAATACAGTGAAGGGCATCATATTGAATTCAAGCTGAATGTTTTGTTTTGTTTTGAAGGTTGCCTCTGAAAAGGGATACAACAGACTTGTGCTCGGATCATGCATATCGAGGATTGCTTGCCATGTTATTACAGCCACTGTCAAGGTTTGCTTTTTATGCCTTAAGTTGGTCGCGTATTTCCTCCGAAAATAAAATTTCCTACTGTCACTGGTCAGTGTATTGGATTCTTATAGGAATTCATGATACTTATAATAAATCTTGTGGATTATATAATTTATATATGCATTGCCCTTCAATACATTTTATTTGAGAATTAGTTCTGTCCCCGTCAAAAATAACAATAACTGGTAATCCCGTTCATAGATCAATGAAATATACTGGTCAATGTAGTGCTTCATGCAATTGCTTTGCATATATTTTGATACATTGAGAATATTTTTTCTGTTCTGGTGTTGAAGCTATAATTTTTAGCGTTCCAAATATATATTAATTTGCTATTTCTTATTCATTCAAACAATATTTATACAAGCCACCTGACCTGGTTATCCATTCGTTTAATTTTATTTAATTGGAAAAATATAGTTAATTTTATTACAGTTTTTAATTAAGCTGAAATGGTAATAAATTTTATTGCATTAAAAAAAAAAAAAAATTACAGATGAAGTGGGCAAGATGGCCACAACTAACCTAGCAAGACATCGTCTCAGAGACTCGGATAATAGATTATGTTGTGTGACATTTAGTAAATTTATTCCTGTATGCAAACGGTGTTCATAGTTTAAACTTTTGTAATTCCATTTGACTCAGCTTTTTGTCCGACTAAAGTCGGAAGGTTGATGATTTTTGGAATGAAAGACCATTTATATCAATGCTATATATATTAGTTTTTGTTGAAGTGTTATGCCGAAACTTCGAAGGTATTTTGATCTTACTTATATTTTCTTTCAACAGGGCCAAGGATATTCTTTACCAGCTGATATACAATATGTTGACGCAAGGTGGGAGATCCCAGTGTTACTTCCTCTTCGTGATTGTCTTGCACGAGAGCTGACCATGCTTTGCCGCCTTGATGGGTTTGTAATTTATGCAACTGTATAACTTATGTTAGAATTTTGTTATCCTTACTGAATTATGTGTCTGATCTCTCACCTTGGCAGGGCAGTCTAAAAACTGTGGAGTTGATAAGAAGTCCTAGTACTGGAATAAACGGCTTGGTCTCATCATTCGTGACACTTTTGCAGGTACAAATGGCACTGTTTTTCTCATCATTTATGTGTGATCAAAGATATTTATTAAAGAATGGCTTTGGCATGAGATTTTAGAAAGAACAACTTCACTGGTAGAGTTTAGCATGCACTTGTAGAGCAATTATTGTTTTTGTTCAACAATTTTGGGTGGGTACACAATTAAGCAAGGGTTAATCATTGTTTAGTAAGAAAGATTTGTAAACGGTATCTCCAGTTCCCCTGGAAAAGTTGATAAGGTTCGTTTTAAAGGCTAAATAGTGAAACATTTCTTTTTTCAGTTACTAAGGTGACACTTTTCAAAACATGTTTTTTGTAGAAATATCTTACTGCAAGACATACATACTCTTATTCCACAAGTAATTGTCTTTGGTTCTGAACTAGCTGTTATACCTTGATGTTTGGTTCAAACATATCTTAATGGGCAAGTCTGATTGACTTTTGTTATCCAGGAAGAAAATCCTTCTCGAGAGTGCACAATTGTGAGAACTGCTGGAAAGCTTATCCCATTTCATTTTAACGGAATTCAAGAGATAAATGACTCTAAGGTTTCTTTGGAAACTCGAAGGCGTCTGAAGAGATATAACCTTAAACCTAATGAATCTTTTTCCTCAGAGTCATTCTGCTTTATCTGCAATAGCCCACTCAGCCGATCTGACTTGCTAAGTTTGAAGAATTTTGAGGACCACAAAACAAGTTCTGTCTGCTGTTTAAGCTGCCAGTTTCAGATACTTCCTGAAGACCCCTCATCAATAAATCAATTTTTTACTCTTTTTCCTCGGCAGCTGGCTGCTCGAGCAAAGCATGACAATCTTGACCATTACAGTGTCCTCAGGTGAGAATAGTATATTAAATCATTTGATGCTTTGCTGATGGCTTGAATCAATTTCCATTATTTCGTAGAAGCTATGACGATACTGGGTTTAATGCACATGCATGTACTGGGTTAAGTTCGAAAAGAAGAAAACTACTACTAAATGAACTTAAAATTAATCATTTCTTTGTCATCTTATACCACAAATCTTCAAATAGAAATCTCAAGATTATCAGAAAACTTATGGGGTTGGCATTCTCGAGAGAGGGTACCTAGACACTGTCTAGCGCTGAATGGCTGCATATTTCTGTGCTGCGATCATGTACAAAACATTTGATCAGCTTCAGTTGGTCTTTTATGGTGGCATGAGTTACCTTATACCGTTGTGTAGTTGAAGAGAAATGCATCGAAATGGAAAGGTTACTGTCATTTTTAATTCAGCCATTGCGTTTTCTTTCAGGGAACAAATACAAGATTGCTTGCTCTCAGAAGGTGAAGATGAGACTTGAGCCGACTCGCCCATGCCTGGGATCCATTTTTTATGAAGGTAGTGAAAGATTTGGTTCGTCAGATTGTTTCTAAAGGATAGTGGACTTGTGATGCGAACAACAATCACAGAACTGCAGGTATCAATTGACGATGTTTGGTTGACATCCGAGGCTGTTCTAAATGTCCAACAGGCCAATAATTTATGTTTGTCTTGATGGCGTGCATCATAGGTTTGAAATTCGAGCTTGGTTCAGTGAGATTGTATCGGGTTTGCGAATTCTTCAGTTGTTTTTTTATTGATAACTAAAAACTGGGAATGGCATAGGCCTGTTTCATCAACACTGTACGAGAAACACTCAATTCTCTGATATTTTGGCATTAGAAGATTGACTAAATTTTGTGCCATTCAACAGATTTTCCAAATTTATTTACACAATTTGAGATTTGAGACCCAAAAAGAAAAAGTAGATAAATCTACTTGTTTGGTACGATAATTGGTAGGAATTTTTGGTATGATGACCATGCTAAACCTAGCCCTAACTACAGCGACGGTGCTAGATGGGAGACAAGTGAAAAGAGAAATCATTCAACTATTTTTACTAGCCGTTAGATTAAATAAATCAAATGGCAAAAAGAGAGCGCATAAAGAGAAAATGACGGAATCATTTTCCAAGCGGAAAACAAGTTCCTCTTTGTGTTGGTATGAACAAAGCCTTGTTTTTATTGTCCTTATGACTTCATTCCCGAACCCAACGCCCATGGTAGAAAAAATTCTGAGGTTGGTCATCCCACACCTATGGTTGGAAAAACTATTAGGTTGGGATAATTAGGCAACGTGATTGATCGATCGATTGACATAAGACACATTAGGTGGTGTCAGAGGGGTTGGGTGGGGCCAAAATACTGAGAGGTAAGAGTGGGAAGGGTGTTATGTTTCTGAAGCCGAACCGCTATGTGATTTGATAAAACAATATAGGTACAAAACCCAGTAGGATTTTTAGTTAAAATAGTTCGTGAGATTGACATAATTCATCATTTTAATCTTTGATATTAAAAATCAATAGATTGGTCTCTGACTTGTTTATCGTAAATCAATTCCATATTTCCATTAAAATCTGTCAATATCCTCGTTAAGTGGGAAGGCAGATTCTCTGCCCTCCCTGTTCCTGTGCCCTCTTATTTGTGTGGTCACGGTTAAGTCACATCAACATTTTATATTACTATTCTTTTTTGTCTTATTATCTCTATAAAAAAATATAAAATATTGACGTGCCTTAACCGTGACCATACGAAATAGGAGGGCACGGGAAGTGAGAGGGCAAAGAATCTGCCTCTATTTAGTGGAAGGGTTTTTTTTTTTTTTTTTGACAAAAATACTTGGAATTGAATCCGCTTCGGAACTTAGAGTCCGGAATCTAAGAATCAATCCATTTGGGTTGCTAATTGATGTGTAAAAGAAATCAGAATTATTGATTTGTATATGGTAAACCAAAAAAATAAATTAATAAAAACCGTTGAATTCAATTTTTGCGTTCAAATTAATTGATGTGTAAACTGAGACACTAAGGTTTGGATCAAATCCAATTTCAAAATACTCTACCCACTAGGCTTTCTTTATAGTTGTTGACTTTATAAAAGCATGTTAGAGTTAGATCTACCTTTTATCTAAGAACCGGAATCATTACAGAGAGTGAAGACTAGAAAAATCTGAATTACCTTCAGCTCACCTCATCAAGCAGAAGAAGATGGCTGAGCTTGGATTTCCGTTAGCAGCCATACTCAATTGAAAAGCCTCGGCTCGTTTGCTTCAGAGGAGATTTGCTTGATGTGGGGGTTTAAAGCGGATTTGCAAAAGCTTGGGTGCACCATGTCCGCCATTAGAGACTGCTCTTTTATGACGAAGAGAAGCAAGCCTGTGATAAGGAGCTACTCAGTTGGCTACGACAACTTCAAGATGTGCTTAGATGTGCTTAGGATTTGTTGGAGGAGTTAAGAGTGCGAAGATTTACAGAGGCAATGTGGTTCGTGATAGTGGCGCAACTAGAAAGGTAAGCCGTTTCTTTTCCCGTTCTAATTCGGTTGCAATCCGATTGTGTGGGTCATGGAATCAAGCAGATAAGGGAGAGATTATGTGAGCTTATAAAATCAAAAAAATAAAAAAGAAGAAGAAGAAGATGAGAACTTTGCTGATTTCTGTAGTTGTCCTTGCATTTGATCCAGATACAACCCTTCAGTGATCTTTGTACCCAATGCAGAGCAAATGATCTCTTTTGCCAATCTAGTAGTATCAAAAGTCCACTGACATACGCTGCCGCATCCTTAACTCAAAATTCCTTACGACTCTCTCATCGTTGTACACCAAATTGGCAAGTGTGGTGTTCCCTAAACCTCGAATCCCACTATACGAATAACATATACATTCTCATTATCCCCACCTTGATGATCATCGCTTGGTACCATTTGAAGGTCAACTGTATTTTTCTGTTTCTCATCACCGAGATGACGGTGATGATGAACAGTGCAAAGATCAGCAAAGCTCACATAATCTCTCCTTGATTTCATGACCTACTCTCAAGCAAAATGCAACTAGATTAGAACAGGAAAAGAAACGGCGTACCTTTCTAGTTGTGCTACTACCACGAACCATTTGCCTTTGTAAAGCTTCGCACTACCAACAAATCCTCAGCATTAAGAACCATGTCTTGAAGTTGTCGTAGCCAACTGCGAAGCTCCTTGTTACGTGCTTGCTTCTCTTCGGCATCCAAGAGAACGTCTTTGATGGTGGACATGGTGCGCGCAAGCTTCGCAAAGCTTCTTCAGTTGCTGTGGAGTCCATAAAGATTTCATGATCTTGTTGCTTTAGCGCCAATCTCCCTTCAGAACAAAATATTGGAAAATGGATTTAACTCGAATGAGAGATGACTTGGAGAAAACCGAGGTAAGTTGTTCACTAAAATATTGAAAGTATGTTTAATGAGATTGATGACAGGAAAATCATCAACATAGGAAGTGTGACTGATAAATCATAAGCCTCCTCACTCGTCTTACTATTCTTTGTCTCTTAGATGAAGCCATATATTCCTCTTCCAAAACCTCTGCTTCTTTATTTTAGGATTGGCATGACTTGGAATAAAGAATATAAATCCGCGGAACTCCCATTGTTCTGTTTTTATCTGATCAAGTGAGTAACTCCAATCTAATTTGCTCTGCAGTGAACTCGGATAAGATTGATATGAAAATGAGATCATATGTGAGTCAGAAAGTTTGTTCGAGCATATTTTTGAGAGAATTATTGTCTGATGTGCTGGTGGTCAATTGTTATAAGTTCCTGTTTATAAGGAAAGATAATAATTGTTCTGTTATAAATTCCGTTATGATCTAGTCACTAAGAATTATTATCTCCTCTCTCTTACTCTGCCTTTTTAAGTAGCTAAACAGTTTTGTGCTGCAGGGCTGGTATTGAACTTGTAAAGCTATCTGTATGCACTTAAAAAAATTCACTGACAGAAGCTGCAGTATTTGTATATGTACCAGATGCATCTTGCATGAGGCACTGCCACTTAATAGTTTCGTGGTTCAACCAACCAAGACGCAGGAAAATCAACAAGTGATTTTGCTGACAGTTTACATCGGACCAGCAAACTCACACATGAACAAACTCAGAACAATTAAGCAATGGTTGATCATTGTTAAGTAAGAAGGATTTGTAAAAGGTATCTCCAATTCCCTTGGAAAAGTGGATAAGGTTGGTTTTAAAGGCTAAATTGTGAAACTTTTCTTTTTTCGATTTCAAAATAATGACATTTTTCAAAACATGTTTTTTGTAGAAATATCTTACTGCAAGACATATCTTATTCCACAAGTAATCATCTTTGGTTCTGAACTAGCTGTTATACCGTGATGTTTAGTTCAAACATATCTGATTGACTTTTTGTTATCCAGGAAGAAAATCCTTCTCAAGAGTGCAAAATTGTGAGAAGAGCCGGAAAGCTTATCCCATTTCATTTTAACCGAATTCAAGAAATCAGTGACTCTAATTTTCCTCTGGAAACTCGAAGGCGTCTTAAGAGATATAACCTTAAACCTAATGAATCTTTTTCCTCAGAATCATTCTGCTCTATCTGCAATAGCCCACTCAGCTGATCTGACTTGTTAAGTTTGAAGAATTTTGAGGACCATAAAACAAGTTCTGTCTGCTGTTTGAGCAGCCGGTTTCAGATACTTCCTGAAGAACCGCGCCCCCCCCATCAGTAAACCAATTTTTTACGCTTTTACCTCAGCAACTGGTTGCTCGAGCAAAGCATGACAATCTTGACCATTACAGTGTCCTCAGGTGAGAATAGTATACATATTTAATCATGTATTATGCTTTGCTCATTGCTTGAATCAATTTTCATTATTCCTTAGAAGCTTGAAGATAACTTGTGATGGCACTGGGTGTACTGCACATCCATGTAACGGGTTAAGTTTGAAAAGAAGAAAACTGTACTACTAAATGAACTTAAAATTAATTATTTCGTTGTCATTTTAGACTGCAAAACTTCAAACAGAAATTTGAAGATTATCAGAAGACTTAGGGGGTAATCTAGACAGAGTCTACTGCTGAATGGTTCCGTATTTCTGTGCTGCGATCATGTACAAAACATTTGGTCGGCTTCTGTTGGTCTTTAATGGTGGCATGAGCTGCCTATATCGTTGTGTAGCTGAAGATAAATAAAATCAAAACTAGAAGTCTACAGTCATGTTTAATTCAGCCATTATGTTTTCTTTCAGGGAACAAGTACAAGATTGCTTGCTCTCAGAAGGTAAAGATGAAACTTGAGCCGACTTGCCCATGCCTGGGATCTTTTCTTCTATAAAGGTGGTGAAAGATTTGGTTGACAAGATTGCTTGCTCTTAGAAGGTGAAGATGAAACTTGAGCCGACTCGCCCATGCCTGGGATCTTTTCTTCTATAAAGGTGGTGAAAGATTTGGTTGGTCAGATTGTTTCTAAAGGATAGTGGACTTCTGATGCCAACAACAATCACAGAACTGCAGGTATCAATTGAAGGTGTGTGGTTGACATCCAAGGCTGTTCTAACCGTCCAACAAGGCTGTTCTAACCGTCCAACAAGGCCTATACTCGATGTTTATCTTGATGGCGTGTATCAAAGGCTTGAAATTCGAGCTTGGTTCAGTGAGATTGTATCGGGATTGCGAATTATTCAGTTGTTTTTTTATTGATAACAAAAATGAGACTGGCATAGGCCTGTTTCATCAATACTGTACAAGAAACACTCAATACTCTGATTTTTTGGCAGCGCATGCATTACAAGAAGATTGAGTAACTTGTGTGCATTCAGCAGATTTTCTAAAATTATTTATACAATTTGAGACTTGGGACCCAAAAACAAAATAAATAAATCTACCAGTTTGGTATGACAATTGGTTAGGGATTTTAATATGGTAACAGCGCCTGACCTAGCCCCAACTACCAGGATGGTGCCATAGAAGAGAGAAGTGGAAAGGGAAAGCATTCCCCAATTATTTCTTTCACTAGTCGCTGGATTAATAAATCAAATGGCAAACAAAATGAAGAGTGCTGAAAGAGAAGGACGGTACATATTCATTTTCCAAGCGGAAACGAGTCACTCTTTGCGTTGGTGGGAGAAATTCGTAGGTTGGTCATCCCACACCCATGGTAGGAGAAATTCTTAGGCTAGGATGACCAGACCACGACTGACCAACATAAGACACATCGGGTGGTGTCAGATGGGGTGGGTGGGGCCAAAACGCTAGGAGGTGAGAGTAGGGGAGGGTGTTTTGTGTCTTAAGCGACGGCTATGTGATTTGATAAAACAATACAAAACTCAGTAGGGTTTTTAGCTAAAATGATATTTGAAATTGGCATAATTCTTCAATTTGGTCTTTGACATTGAAAATCAATAGAAGTGATCCCTGAGTTTGTCTGCCGTAAACTAGTTTTGTCCTTCCATGAAAAACTTGTCAATAACGTAAGTGTAGGGTTTGTTTTACAAAATTACTTGGCCACTAGGCTTTCTTTATAGTTGTTGACTTTTTAAAAGCATATTAAGAGTTTGATCATATCTTTAACTAAGGACCAGATTCATTAGAAGACTAGAAAAATCTGTATCACGTTCAGCTCACCTCATTAAGCAGAAGAAGATAGCTGAGTTTGCATTTCCGTTGGCAGCCAAACTCATTGAAAAGCTCGGCTCCATTGCCTCAGAGGAGATGTGCTTGGTGGTGGGGGTGGGGGTTTAAACTTTAAAGCAGATTTGCAAAAGCTTGGGCGTACCATGTCCAGCATCAAAGACTGCTCTTTGATGACGAAGAGGAGCAAGTACGTATAAGAAGCTATGCAGTTGGCTACGGCAACTTGAAGATGTGCTAAGGATTTGTTGGAGGAGTTTGAGTGTGAAGCTTTACAAATGGTTGGTGAGAGTGGCCCAACTAGAAAGGTACGCCGTTTCTTTTCCTGTTCTTATCCATTTGCATTCCAATTGAGAGCGGGTCATGGAATCAAGGAGACAAGGGAGAGATTATGTGAGCTTAAAGATGATGTTACTGAATTGGCAAAAGATATTCTCAGTTGAGCACTAGGTAGAGAGATTAGTGAAGGGTTATCCCTGGATCAATTGCAAGAAAAACTACCAGACGCTTAACAATCGACCGCCAGCATATTTCTAAGTGGCTATACAGTTTGTGCCGCAGTGCTGGTATTGAACTTGCAAAGCTAGCATGCACATCAAAAGCTCTAGTAACAGAAGCTGCAGTATTTGTATACGCACCAGATGCATCATTCATGAGGCACTACCACTTTATGGTTCCGTGGTTCAACCAAATAAGACGTAGGAAAATCAACAAGTGATTTACTGACAGTTTACATCGGACCAGCAAGCTAACACATGAACAAACTCAGAACAAGATAGAACGAAGGCTGTCCGCTAATCAAATTTAATGCGTAAATATTAGACCCATCTCATAACGAAATAAAATAAAAATCTTACTAAACAATAATCAACTTCCTGCCTGAAGACTTGCACAGAACTTTGGTACTTGTCATTCAAGTTTAAGATGCAATGCTCTATACAGTCTTTAAGGCGAAATCCAATTCTCAGAAGCATCGAAGAGGAAGGAAAATGCAGCGGGAATGAACTAATCCCAAATGTGATGCAGTAACTCACTCAGTCGGAAGCCAGAAAATAAAGGCTTTACATATACCAGCTGATGAGAATTACCCTACATTAAGGAATCTGGGAAAAGAACTCCTCCAGCTGATTTTCTGTTACGACCACACCAAGCTTTTCAGTAAAAACTGCATTGGTCACGTCAACTCCTGTTCCTGTCACCGCATCTGTAGCACGGATCTGAAAGTAACCATCCAGGTTGTGTACAGTCCCATCTGCACAAGTTTACAAAACCCAGGAAAAAATAAATCCAATTTTGTTGTGCATTACTCATCACCTGATGCAGGACAATATGAAGGGATGTAGAAATAGAAGAGATCCGGACTCACTCCGGCCTTTGGCATCACACCAAAGGTGTATTGGAATCACTCCAACAAAGAAACTAGAAAAATTCTGGCATCACAACAGCCTTCAGCTTCACACCGAAGGTGCCTTGGAATCACTACAAGGTTGCTGTGCTTCACACATAAGCAGGAAACCCAGAACTTTTTTTTACTAACAATCTTATTTTTAAAAGCTTACAAAGTAGCCCCTTTTATAGGCTAATTGGTACATGAATGTAAAGATCCGCAGTAATATCCTTAGGAATTCTAAAGACTAATTTATGACACCTAATACATTACAATTAACTTGCAGACTACACTGCATTTATTACAAAGGAAAGTAGAAAGACGCTACTAAGAAAGGGAAAGTAAAAGAGGACATTATAGTTCTTAGTTGATTGCTCTAGCTCATTAGGATTTATATAAAACTATTCTCCGTCTCTATAAACAGAAGATATAACAATCGACCATAAGAAGCTTGATTTCAGCTACTTTCTAGATATCAAACAAATTTCTTAACTCACATATGTGGCTCAATTTTCAATCTTATCTGACATTACTACAAGAGCAAAATTAGATTGGATTCCCCCTCTTGACCGCATAACGAGACAAAGGGAGTTCCAAGAAATGACAATCCTAAAATCAAGAATCAGATAATGGTTCTCAAGTGACTGATGTAGCTCATTAGGGAATATAAATATATATATATATATATATATATAATTATTCTCTTTCATTATAAACAGAACTTATAACAATCGCCGCAAGAAGCATGATTTTGGCATGAACCTGAACTCGGCAAGTTATGCACCTTCCATCTACTTATTACCAGTAGGAATCACTAGTGGCTATTGAATCACATAAGTTTCAATCTTATCTGACATTACTACAAAAACAAATTAGATTGGAGTTGCTTGATCGCAAGAAAAAGAAAAAAAGGGAGTTCCACACATTTTAATTTTTCCAAGAAGTGACAATTCAAAACGATTGCACCGTCATCAAACCATATAAAAGCATCAGAGGAATTTAGCACTTACCCTGCGCAACAATAGGCTGATAGAGAGGAGGTTGACGAAGCCAATTTCCATTAGAATCTTTCATGTGTCTTCTATCAGAAGCAAAGAAACGAAGGAATATTGGGGCATGCACAATCCGGAAACACCTGCATCACGTTACCCGCAAAGATATCAACATAAAGAGAGGGTAACAAACTTATAAGATATATGGCATGTTATGTTGCAATAACCTCACAACATAACAACCCAAGTATCATTAGAACATTTGCCTATAAATGCAAAACAGACAAGTGATGAAGTACCTTCGCAATTCAGCAAAGGTCTGAAATGAGGGGCAGAACGTTTCCAAGACATAGGTTGCTAAAGGACAAGGAAATGCAAGACTCGAATCCAAATCCCACACTAAATGTGTTGCGGGTGTGTCACCACTGCCTTTTTTCTGCACGCAAATGACATGATAATCCCACAGAACAACCCCATCCGCTCGATTGCTGGCCTTCTGGCGCCACAACGGGATCTACACCATTTTATTTACACCAGAACAAACGCTAAGTTGATTAAAAACAAGACAAATAAAACACAAATTTTAAGACAAATAGCGAGTGGGGTAAGATGGGAACACAAAATACATGCCTGTTTCTTGTCATTGGAAATGAAAACGACGAAAAGATCAGAACCCTGTGCATCTGCGATGCCCTTTTTGCACAGCTCCTTGCAAAGCAAGTACACATTCTCCTCACTACACGGACAAAGTGTACAAAAAGGGTGATTAATTTGATTAGCAATTGAACAACAGCACAGAACAAAAGCCGAAAACCAAAAACACAAAACGCGGGTTAGGCCAGTTCGCGGGGGCAATGTTCCCACCACTTGCACCCAAGTTCGAATAAAAAAAGGCCTAGTTGATTGGTTGATTGGTTGATTGGTTTTATTGACGTACCAGTAAAATGGGGTGTGATGGAACTGAGAGATGTCGCAGGAGCTCTCGCTTTCTTCCAACTTTGACGTCGTCATCTCACTCTCTTTCCCTCTCCCTCCGGGGCCTCTCTCCCTGTCCCTGTGGAATTGAATCTCACTTCCAAATTTAGTACCCAGCGCCCCCAACGACGCGTCGTTTCTAAACCCACCAACGACGCCTTCCTTGCTCTAAGCCTCTACCTAGAGCATAAAAACGAATCCGTGCCGTTGGTCTCCGCACAGCCCAGCGAGCTTCATAGATGGAATCAGAAGACCTCAACAACCTTGACATATCCTCCGACAGCGCCGCCGCCCAAGCCGATCCGACGCCGCGTGGGCCCAGGCCCATATGCAGCAACTGCACCCGACCCGGCCCAGTATGCCTCTGCCAATCTCTCCCGGCCCAGCCCATCCAAACCCAAACCCATGTCATAATCCTCCACCATCCCCACGAAGCCAATCACAAGCTTTCCACAACCCCAATCCTCACCAAATGCCTCTCCAACGCCACCGCCATCATCGGCCGCAAGCTCCGGCCAGGCCTCTCGCCGCTCCTGGACCAATCCCCTCCCGCCATATACCTCTTCCCGCCCACCAAATCCTCGCCCGCCGTCACCCTATCGGACCTCGCCGCCTCCACTTTCCCTCGCGTTCTCGTCGCGTTCGACGCCACGTGGAAGCACGCGCGGGAGATGGTGGAAGCGAGCGAGGAGTTTTTGTCGGCGTTCGCGACGAGGGTTTGTTTGGATGTGGACGAAAGCGCGTGCGGTGGGAGCATTTACGACTCGGAGTTGGTTCTGAGGAAGGAGCCGTTCGGCGGGTGCGTGAGTACGTTGGAGGC